ATATATATAGATATACACACACACACACACTAAATGTTTATAATGGAGTGTTATAATAAATACACTGAAGGGTGAAAATAAAGGGCATTAATCATATGTGTGCACTCTGTGAATGATTGCATTTTTTTCAGACACACTCACATGCAAACCTTAAGTCTTATTAACAGCACACTATTAGAAAACACTTTGAAACAAATGTACTTCAGACATGGTGCTTTTTCATCCAACAGTTACTAAAGAACAAAAGATTATCATGTTCAAATATATGTGATTGTTTTCATAGAAACATGCTAAAAATTTGACAGTTATTTATATATATTCATTATTTAAAAAGGAAATCAAATTTTCATATATTTGATAGTTTTATAAAACTCATTTCCAGAAAAAGCTTTATGTAGCTTGGAATTCTGTTTTCAATTTTACATATGATTTTTGTCTTGCAGATATTAATTTTAGCGCAATATTCTGACTTCGTGCAGGATAGCTTAGGCTCACTCAACTGGGATAATCTGGCAGAATTTAATGAAGAAAAGTCTGAGAAATAGCTAAAGGAAACCAAGAAAGAATTTGTATGTCTCAGGTCTAGTGGGCCTGGGAGGGCGGATAACGGGGTGGTGTCTGCCACCATGCTGGGCCTGGGGAGTGGCAGGGACCTGGGCTGCAGGTACCTGGAATAAAGACAGACTTCACTCTCCTGCATTCCCGGGAAAAGATCTCCTAGGCTAGGTTCAGCTCAGATAGTGGAGCCCACTGGAGATCGAGAGTGGAGAGAGGATCTGAAGGGGCAAACAGAATATACCCAGAACAGCCTGCACCTGTGACATTATCTTTGTGTAATAACAATAAAGAAAATTGTTGCTTTGCTTTTAGTCTAAGGCACAAATAAAAGAGGACAGAATTATATGGACGCCCTTTACACTACAAAACATAAGCTGTAACTAAGGTACATATAAACGAGTATCTCATTCTTCTCAGTGTCCTAAGTACAGATTCTACTCTCTACAGCGATGGCCAGTTCACAGAACATACGCCAGGTATGTGTGTTCCTGAGATAAGAGCTAATTAAACTCATCAACCAACAAAGGTGGTATGAGTTTAAAACAGTGAGAATACATGTTCAAGTGTATCTTCTTCACAACTACTCAAATATTGAAAACCTCACAAGCCACCTCCTCAGAAAGCAGTCTCTGCGTGTACCGCACCCAGTACACTGTGGAAGATGTCAGTTCTCCCCTGTATCTTGTAAATAACCTGTTTTTCTTTTGAGGGCTATGAAAACTGCTACTTTAAACTTCAGTTTCCTTTCCTAGTAACAGACATCACTGTGAAGGCCCATCTTTTTTTGGAAAATTTAGATGTGGTTTCAATATGTTGATTCAGTAACAGGTTATTTTTTAAGCCCACTGGCAGCTTTTCTAGCCAACATTTCATTTACTTACCAGAGAAAATGTGCCCATAATAATTTAAACAATTTAAACCATTTTAAACAATTGTTTGTCCAAAAATAGTTTGGAAGTTGGTCAGATTATGGTGACAGTGTACCACCAATCCTAAACCACACACAAAAGAAAGGGAGTTGACATTCTGCTTCTAGAGCAGTTTTCTTACAAGTACTTTGAAACAGTGATCATGAGAGAACTGACGCGCTAACAATACATGAACGGCACCATCACCACCTGGCTCAGCCAAGCCAGGAAAGCGAAGCAGAGACTCCAGGAAGGAGCAGTGAGTTCTGCAGGTGTGCAGTGAAGGAAGTTCCCAACATCCCAGTATCATCCTGTAGCTGAAAAACTCCAGGATAGGAGAGGGAAGCAGGCACAGGGCATCCAGCCAGGAAAACCCAAAACAACTCTGCTGAGGGTGACTCTGGGGCTAACCATGAGTTTAAGGGGCAAATTCTCAGTGACACGATCGAAGCATGATCTACACAGGTACTCACTGTGGAGAGGGTGTTAGTCATCCAGAGATAGTTTGAGACACCCCTGTTCACACAAAAATTTCAGTCAATAGTATCATTTCTTTATAATAAGAAAAATATATGTACATATAAAACAGGAATGTTTTTGAAAACTCAATTGCCTAATTAATGAAAGTGAACATAAAAATATTAAATTAAGTAGAATAAGGCATTCACCGATCCAAACATTTTACTTTATCAAGAGCATTTGTCCCCAAACATGTTGTGATTGTTTTCATATAAATACTTCATGAAAAATTAAAAATGTTACCTATAGGTTATTACTGAAAAGGAAAAAACAAAAGTCAGACATACCTTATATAGTAAGCAAATGCACAGAAACAGATTTCAGAGCTTGTAAAATAGTATTTATAAATAACCATTCTCCCCCAGTATAAATGACCGTTAGACTGAGGTCAGCACCCAGCTGCTTCTATCTAACAGGGAACTTAACTCTTAAATACACAGGTATCTCCTCTCTACCCTGAGATTCATATCTAGTTTTCAGAAAAGGCGTAAGAAAATGGTTACAGTGCTCCAATCCTTAACTCCACGTTCTTGTATATTCACATTCCACTGCACAGAACACCTCACGTGCCTTTAACACCCTTAAAGCAGGCTTCTACCGTTTTGGTTCAGTGATCACATTTTGCCATCCCAAATGACAGCTGTTACAACATCAGAATATCATCAGTTTTATTTTCACATTGAAGCTGCAGTTATTTTTAATACTTCTGTCCTTTGGCCTTTTTTTTATTCTATAGCTAAGTGGTTAACATTCAAATTACAGTCTCACAGTTTTCTGGAACCTGACACACTGAGCCTTATGTAGTCTTGTAGTTGATTTAGTTACACAAATTTCTGTTAAAGATTACTTCCTCTCACTTAAAGTTTAGCTTGAACTGCATGTTACAATAGGAAAAAAGGACCAATAGTAAGTTGTAACTCTTATCTTTGAAAATAAGAATTTAGTAGATATTGTCTGAAATGGAAAGAAATACATGACCATTATTCAGCTAATACATACAGGGAGGCTGGGGCAAAAGGTTCCTAGTATTTCATACAAATTTATAGCACTAACTGATTTTTCAAACCACATATTTGCACAATTATAACACAAAAATAATAGGATAAAACAAAAGATACTTTAGACAAGTCAGGTAAAAAATAGAGATAGATGTTTACTAGTCTTAAGCAGGTTAACAAACAGCAAAACATGCGCCTCCACATATACAATGTAGCAGCACCCTATCTCATGAGGGACCTGGACACTGACAGTAACTGAAACAAAACTAGAGGAGGGTAAGACTAAGAGCATGGAAACTGAAATGTTTCTGTTTCATAGGATGGTGATAACATAATATTAGTTCCTGAAGAGACACTGAAGATCATTTAGTCAAACATCCTTATTTTACTACAGAGGAATCCGATATTAGAGAAAGCAAGTTAATTGAAGACGGTCACATATCAGTCAACAGCAAAGCTGGACTGGACAAAACTGTCTGTAGGTCTGGGACCTATTACTCTCCAGTGGTATAAAAGCAGATGTTCTTCACCAGACAGCACAAAGAGGGTATTGTTCAAAAGGAGAAACTGTGGTAGTGACGTGTTACAGCCAGCCACCCACACACCCAGAAATATATACAATGATCACCCATTATGCACAAGACAGGAAAGCTGATAAATCTGGTCTAGTCTGAAGGTGGTCATAAATGTAACGTTTGTTTAAAGAAATAATTCAAAAACATTTTAAATAATTGGAAAAATCAAACACACACACACATACACACAATGAGTGGTATGATGGATAAAACTTGAAATGAGTGTTCTGATGTTTGCAATGTTTCTATTTTCAGTTTTTTCCAAGTTTAATATTTTTTACTGAATGTTTGAAGCATTTAGTTTTGTCATTCAACTGGTTGAAATAATCCTTAGAAAAATACTGATAACTTCTGATCAAAACTATTAGAAAAAGGCAGACTAACAGTTGGATGCTGACATGTAAACATAGAACAAAAATTCAAAGTTCTATATGATTATTTTTAACATATATGTATATACATTACATCTTCAAAGTTCAAGCTATCATTTTTTAATTATTATATTTTCATTTAAAATTAACTTACTGAGAACTTATCAGTACATTTCTGAATATTTTTCATAGCTGTATTAATTTATGGAGTTCAGCATTATTTTTTAACATAATTAGAAGTATAATTGAGAAGAATTAAGACATACCAAAAATAACTTTTTCTTTAGGGTTATTTGGAGTTTTAAATTTTACAATTTACCAAAAGAGAACATGGTCAAATTAATTAGGTTAGTTAATATAAGGAATTTTAAAATTAACTTAATCTAGAAATTAGTACAGTTACATTATTTTTGCTTGATTAGTTTGAGTCTTTCAAAAGTGATTTTGTCTTCTGAATATTTTCAGTCAGTTCAGTTTGTTCCCCACTATTAGAATACCTATCTACTGCTTTGAAAATTTTTTTAAACATTCACTGGAAAGCTACATGGTACTAGCTTATTAATCCTGTTCCAGTGAAGTTCTAAATACAGAAAATGGTTTTATTTCATTGATAATAATATTAATGAAACTGAAAAAAATGTGATTTTTAAAGCCATTCAAGTCCATTTACAGAAAAAGGCTCTTGCAGCAAATGTCTATTTATTATGATTCAGGCACAGTTCTCTCCCATAGAAATTTTTTTTTCTTTTAGTCACCACCACGGGGAAAAGCCTAGCTCAGGATGAAGCTGATACAAAAGAGAGGAGCAGTGAGAGACAGATGGTCATAAGGTCCTGGTGGCATCATCTGACAATAACTTACAGAAGGTCGTAGTCAGTGACACTGTCCTGCACAGCCGGAAAACCCCTACCAGCTGATGGAATGTCAGCTCCTGGAATGACTCTCAGGATTCTTCCCTCCTCACATTCCCTAGTCAGGCTGTCCCCCCTGGACTACTGCAATGATCCTCTCACAGGGCTCCCATCTTCTTTCACACACAGTTCATCCTGTTCGCTGAGTCAGAATGAGCCTGTCCTTCTGCTCTGCTCCTGTCACATCCTTGCTTACAAACCTCAGTTACCTAGGATATCCTCTTTCTTTAAAAAAAAAAAAAAAAAAGGAATTACTTCTACATATGTTAATATCCCAAGAACATTTTTATTATTTTTACTTTAATCATTTTTCTTTTCAAAAGACTAAAAATGCAAGGTGTTTTGTTTGTTTGTTTTTTATGCGGGGGGAGGGTGAGAAAGGAAGAAAAATGAAATCTGAGCTTTCATCCTTTGGAATTTTGCCCCATGATCCTTCACTTACTCTAAGGGGTACAACTGTAACAGCTGATACGTCTTCTTTCTGCAAGCTGTAATGTGTCTACAGTCCATATTTTAAGTGAGCTGATTATTCTATAAAGAATTTAAAAGAATGTAAAGAATCTGTGTTTCTTCCACTGTGAAGAATTTGGCCAAACGTGCTGAAATGCCCTTTTACTCCATGCAGTGACAATACGGGGAAAGATGCAAAGTAAAACAGCTTAGCCTTTCAATCATGAAACCTATTTCCACACTATGTTACTGGTTTAGTCATGCATGTTTAAACACACTGTCACCAATAATGCAAAATATCTGATACTACATCACT